TTCATTTACGTGTATTATTAGTGCAGTCATTTTAGCCCCATAATAGGGCAAACCCCAAAACCCCAAACTAATTGGAACATAATTTTTATTGATAACTTTGGAATTTCTATTGTTGTAGTATATCATATTTAAAATCTACATCCGTGAAAATTGTGGAAATGCGTGAATATCGCAGTTTTTAAATGTTGGTTTGAGAACAGCAAATACTACTAGAAAACAGAGGTAGGGGTAATATTTTTTTAAGGTCAAAAATATTATGCGAAATAATTAAATGAATTGTATACCAAAGAAAAGGTAATTCATTATTGGATGAAATTACATAAAAAAAGAAATGCTTATGATACAAGATGACCTCACAAGAACCAATAAATTACCGCCCTTTGGTCAAAACCTTAATCAATTTTTCTTATTTTCCAGTAATTCAAACAAGGATACGAATTATTCGTTCAGACGGTATGATATCAAATCTTCTTTAGGTCTGGAAATCGTACATAAGAGAAATACGAATTCTGAAAATAAATGTCAGCGTCTAATTCTTTCAAATAATGAGTAATGAGTTTCTTCCAACAGACTATTGATATACTTATGGGAACTTTCTGTACCCTTTTGTTAGCTGACTTGTTTTTGGTTTTGATACCAAGCTAAATTTATCAACGAGCCTATCAAAACAGGTCACAAAGACCTCGAAAAGTCGTTAATTTCACTTTCATATACAATTGTATATTGAGTTCGTCTTGTCTTGAAATAGCAAGAAATGTATTGATCACGCCACTTTTTTCATCAGCCGTTATTTCGGTATTGTCCTACAACGAACATAACACGGACAGCTTTCCACCAAGCTGTATGTAAGCGTGATATGCCAATTTCCCTATTGTGGATTTCCATTTCTCGAGAGCAACATTCCTACATCTCCAACCTATAGTGTTTACCTATCGCATTTCATTCGAAGGCCTGTTTTCATATCACTATTTATGTGTCATTACTTGTTTCAATTTATCAAGATTAACATAGTGGGAGGTTGTCGATGAAACAGAAGACGTCAACTTTTTCCGGAACAAATGACCTTATTCTCTTCATACATTTTCAAGAGTTTCCCTGCAATGATTCTTTTGTCCATGGTTTGCCCTAGTTTTATTGAATTTGATATTTGATTATGACCGTGTTGTCGTGTTGATATTTTCTTTTCCCCCAAGATTATTGCTTTTGAGATACCTGTATTTTCGATTTATCAAAGGTCAGAACGATTGCAATTATTGGTATTTGACGAATTATAAAGCTTCGCAATAGACTCGGATAATCATATCTTCATCCAAGTGGAAGAAAATATTTTAGATTTGAAAAATGTTCCCTGTCCCTTTGCACGCCCATTGTTTATATAAAATAAAATTCGATCTCCATCACTCAATGATATTTGATATGAAATATGGTCAAATAATTCAAAAGAAAGGAGAGACTAATGGGAAGGGGTAGTGAGACTATTCGTTTATGCGAAATTGTTTTCAAATCACCCAAGCTTACTTTAAACTGAATGTCAAATTATTTGAAGGAATTTGCTCCATCACTCATTTCTTGAATTCCATCCCCTAGGGGGGCACCAGTTATACAAATTAATTCTCCTTTCCCAAGGATGGTATATACCAAATATGACTTCAAGTGATTTAAAGGAAATAAGTCAACGGCCACTACGTCAGCAAAAAACAAATATCATTGTAGAATACCTTTACTAGGATACAGGTCATTGGCTAAGCAGTCAACGATTTCCAATCAGAGCGACACAGGTTAATTTTGCGTCATGAATTAGGTACACCGTTCAGTGTCCCAAAAGTCAATGTTGTAAGTATTTAACAGTTTTTCTAACGTCAGATAACGAATATTTTCAAATATTCATAACGAGACTTTCGAGAAAAGGAATTTGACCTGAATTTTTTTTATTGCACTGTGATATTTCTCGAGGGAATATTACGCTAAGTAATCATACATATTGTACGACATATATCTGTCGTAACGTACGTTCATTTACGTGTATTATTAGTGCAGTCATTTTAGCCCCATAATAGGGCAAACCCCAAAACCCCAAACTAATTGGAACATAATTTTTATTGATAACTTTGGAATTTCTATTGTTGTAGTATATCATATTTAAAATCTACATCCGTGAAAATTGTGGAAATGCGTGAATATCGCAGTTTTTAAATGTTGGTTTGAGAACAGCAAATACTACTAGAAAACAGAGGTAGGGGTAATATTTTTTTAAGGTCAAAAATATTATGCGAAATAATTAAATGAATTGTATACCAAAGAAAAGGTAATTCATTATTGGATGAAATTACATAAAAAAAGAAATGCTTATGATACAAGATGACCTCACAAGAACCAATAAATTACCGCCCTTTGGTCAAAACCTTAATCAATTTTTCTTATTTTCCAGTAATTCAAACAAGGATACGAATTATTCGTTCAGACGGTATGATATCAAATCTTCTTTAGGTCTGGAAATCGTACATAAGAGAAATACGAATTCTGAAAATAAATGTCAGCGTCTAATTCTTTCAAATAATGAGTAATGAGTTTCTTCCAACAGACTATTGATATACTTATGGGAACTTTCTGTACCCTTTTGTTAGCTGACTTGTTTTTGGTTTTGATACCAAGCTAAATTTATCAACGAGCCTATCAAAACAGGTCACAAAGACCTCGAAAAGTCGTTAATTTCACTTTCATATACAATTGTATATTGAGTTCGTCTTGTCTTGAAATAGCAAGAAATGTATTGATCACGCCACTTTTTTCATCAGCCGTTATTTCGGTATTGTCCTACAACGAACATAACACGGACAGCTTTCCACCAAGCTGTATGTAAGCGTGATATGCCAATTTCCCTATTGTGGATTTCCATTTCTCGAGAGCAACATTCCTACATCTCCAACCTATAGTGTTTACCTATCGCATTTCATTCGAAGGCCTGTTTTCATATCACTATTTATGTGTCATTACTTGTTTCAATTTATCAAGATTAACATAGTGGGAGGTTGTCGATGAAACAGAAGACGTCAACTTTTTCCGGAACAAATGACCTTATTCTCTTCATACATTTTCAAGAGTTTCCCTGCAATGATTCTTTTGTCCATGGTTTGCCCTAGTTTTATTGAATTTGATATTTGATTATGACCGTGTTGTCGTGTTGATATTTTCTTTTCCCCCAAGATTATTGCTTTTGAGATACCTGTATTTTCGATTTATCAAAGGTCAGAACGATTGCAATTATTGGTATTTGACGAATTATAAAGCTTCGCAATAGACTCGGATAATCATATCTTCATCCAAGTGGAAGAAAATATTTTAGATTTGAAAAATGTTCCCTGTCCCTTTGCACGCCCATTGTTTATATAAAATAAAATTCTATCTCCATCACTCAATGATATTTGATATGAAATATGGTCAAATAATTCAAAAGAAAGGAGAGACTAATGGGAAGGGGTAGTGAGACTATTCGTTTATGCGAAATTGTTTTCAAATCACCCAAGCTTACTTTAAACTGAATGTCAAATTATTTGAAGGAATTTGCTCCATCACTCATTTCTTGAATTCCATCCCCTAGGGGGGCACCAGTTATACAAATTAATTCTCCTTTCCCAAGGATGGTATATACCAAATATGACTTCAAGTGATTTAAAGGAAATAAGTCAACGGCCACTACGTCAGCAAAAAACAAATATCATTGTAGAATACCTTTACTAGGATACAGGTCATTGGCTAAGCAGTCAACGATTTCCAATCAGAGCGACACAGGTTAATTTTGCGTCATGAATTAGGTACACCGTTCAGTGTCCCAAAAGTCAGTGTTGTAAGTATTTAACAGTTTTTCTAACGTCAGATAACGAATATTTTTAAATATTCATAACGAGACTTTAGAGAAAAGGAATTTGACCTGAATTTTTTTTATTGCACTGTGATATTTCTCGAGGGAATATTACGCTAAGTAATCATACATATTGTACGACATATATCTGTCGTAACGTACGTTCATTTACATGTATTATTAGTGCAGTCATTTTAGCCCCATAATAGGGCAAACCCCAAAACCCCAAACTAATTGGAACATAATTTTTTATTGATAACTTTGGAAGTTCTATTGTTGTAGTATATCATATTAAAAATCTACATCCGTGAAAATTGTGGAAATGCGTGAATATCGCAGTTTTTAAATGTTGGTTTGAGAACAGCAAATACTACTAGAAAACAGAGGTAGGGGTAATATGTTTATTAAGGTCAACAATATTATGCGAAATAATTAAATGAATTGTATACCAAAGAAAAGGTAATTCAATCCAATGCATATGTTACGTGATCTAAAAGCTTTTTGAGGGGAAAACATATATTTGATAGAAATTAAGTTTTAAAAAAGATGACTTAATGTAATCATTTTCTCAAAAAAAGATAGAAAATTGGTTATTTGACATAAAATATAGCATTGTATTAAGGCAATGAGATATGGAATAGATATATAATACTATCCCTCAAAATACCAAATCATCTTCTAGAAAAGACATCAATGTTACAGACATTATACTATTATGTCAAACAGAATTGTAATTACCTCCCTTTAGAGAAAATTACCTTTTTTTCAGGCGACAGGGCTCTCGATCTGCCAGATTTGGGGCCAATATTCGGCCCCATTCCCAATGGAAAATAGTATCTCTTTTCCCAATTTATACCCCAAGTTTTCCCAATTCTAAGGAAAACAACGTTATTTTTCTCAATTCTAAGGGCCCCGGGCCCGAGTCTCAAAATGGGGTGTGAGATCCCTGGGCGAGCTAAACTATATATTTATATACAATATAAAGTCTTGGCGGTTTGTCTCTAGCAATGTCCTCAGGGAATTATTAGGCTCACACAGGCGCATATGCACTTTCATGTTATAACAGATATCATGCAATCTAAATATCATCTGTGAAGTCGGTATCTATCTCGATGGCTGAGTTTGCAAAGTTAATCTGTACAAGCAGTTGAACAGTCAAGGCCATGCTTTCTACAGGAGTAGCGTTTGCCTTTGGATCCATTTCACTTTCGAGCCATTGGTGATAAGTCCTCATGATGTGAAATATTGCAGCATCTGACGTAGGTGGCAGAAACTAGACTTAGACACTTGCTGATCATTCTTGCACTAACTTTGGTAGTAAACTTCCTATAGCGCAAAGTATCCAGGCTTTCACCAGATGTCCCTCCATATAGAGCATCGAAAATGGACTCTCCAATCTCTTTAACTTCTTTTATTGTTAATGTTCTGAACATAAGCGGAGCCGCTTATTCTGTCATCGTCTTGCTTGACATGTGCTCCCCTACGGATAGGGGTTAGAATATATCCGCTGTGTCCTACTGCGTGTGATAAAAGTCCACTAAAAGGGTCAACTTGTCTGCCGTGGGTTGCGTCCCGTTAGTACTGGGAAAATGATCCTGGTGGTTGAGGGGCGGTTATATGGTTTTAGCTTCATTCTCAAACATCTCTTTAACTTCCCCCAATACATCACTTTGGCCTCTATCTCAGTAAGACGGGTGATCATTGTGGTCCTCAATGATCAATCGGCTGGTCATGCCAAGCCTTGGGTCAACTATATGTCCTAAGTGTTTCCTTTTTATTTCATTCAATCATCTATTTTTGCAGCTTTTATTTTACAGTTTTTCACAGAAGGCGGTGGCTTAAGGATCAATCGAGAGAGTTTATTCTTCCGAATATACTAACTGTGTATCCTTGGCACTCCCCTTGTATGGCTCCGCGGTGGGTGAGGAGCACGGGTAATGAAAATCTATACACCTAACTATGGGCACAAAAAACAAAATCAAAATAAATGACCTTGCCCTTCATCATCAGACTCAGAAGATGACCAATATTTCAACCAGTTCATCGTCATACGATCGTTGGAAAAGGATTAACCAATGTCATCACCATTTGTTATAGAAAAGATTATCCTGTCAACATGCGGTACTCCAAAGAGTGTGAAAAACTGCGATCAGACGAACTCCTTGTAGAAGAAGTCCGCCAGCAAAAGTCTAAGAACCTCGTAGGAATGACAAAGTTTTTGGAGATAGCTGTGCAGGTTGTCCCTCATTGCTCCCTGAACACATCAAAAGACGTTATACGCTGTCCATCTCTTCAGAGCGAGTAGAACATCATCAGTTACTTCAAAGAGTACAACAAAAGGTCAACCATGTTAAATGGATTAGGGTGAATCGAGATGGCAGCATCCGTGACACCAACACTTTCGTTCCTACTTTTAACACCCCAATTTTACCAAAACGTGTAATGGTTGACTTCGAAAGTGATGGTGTGGATTTTTACATCCCAAATTCACTGCGATGCTTTGGTTTCCAGAAATTTGGTCATTGTTCCGAGAACTGCAAGAAACAGAAAGTTTGTGCAAAGTGTGGAGTTGTAGGCCACGAATATGGGTCGGCAGATGGTGCTTGTGATGGTCGCGCCCACTGCGCGAACTATGGTGGAAGGCATCCAGAATATTCAAGAGATTGCCTTGCTAGGCGCAAGGAAAAAGAGATCCTTCAAGTCAAGTACACAAGCATTACTTTCTCCAAAGCAAGAAAGATTGTTGAAATACCTATGTCGGTCCATTCTATGCCAGTCGTACAAAAGTTGGTATTACGACCGTGGAGACCCGTGATGCTGTTACACAGACATGTGATGCAGCTACACAGACTGACATGGCGTGCGACAATCTTTCCTGCCTTCGGCCTGCTGCATCAAAGCCTTCACCAACACAGTCATCGCGAACACCACCAACACCATCAAAACACAATCAGAACCCCCAATCTCATCAAAACCAGTTCCCAGCACACACAAAGATAAAAATCAGCCAAAGCAGAAAATTCAAATTTCTTCAGATAGAAGAAAAAAAGGGTCTGACGACCCAATTCACACCTTTAACAAATTTGGCTGGAGGATATGGAGTACCAGGTAGCTACTTCCAAATCCTCCTAGATCTCTATCAAAGCTGTCAAACCACCTTAGGTTAAATAAGTAGTCTAGCTAATTATCAATGGTCCCCCACTTATCTCTATTTTTGTTAGTTATAATGGATACAATAATACAATGGAATTGTAGAGGTCTTCTATCAAATATTGATGAAATTCTTCGACTGTTTTAAGAACATATCCCTAATGTAATCTGTCTCCAAGAAACGCTCATCAGAGCCAAGACAAATATCAATTTCAGAAATTATTCATTGTTTAATTACTTCGGTCCTATTAGCAACAAAGCAACTGGTGGAGTTGCTATGTTGGTTGACAACCAAGTTCCTCATAGAAACATACCATTAAATACAGATCTCCAGGCAACTGCTGTTAGTGTTACGCTCCATAAAACGCTAACAGTATGCTCCATCCATCACCCTCCAAACTCTGACTTTACGAACAACCAACTAGACGAACTCCTATCGCAACTGCCTTCCCCTTTCATACTTTTGGGTGACTTTAATGGTCAATACAACCTTTGGGGTTCACTCGACACTAATGACAAAGGAACAAAATTGAAAAATTTATATTGGAAAATAACCTTTGTCTTAACAATAACAAATCTCCAACTTATTGGCATCCCTCTGCCGTAACATTTAACTTTATGTCACCCATCTTTGTTACTCGAATGGACGGTGCATTACGATATCTGTGGAAGCGACCACTTTTCAATATTTCTAAGGAATTGAGGATCCACGTAGAGTGATTACATACCCCATTGGAAATTATATAAATCAGATTGGAGTAAATTTGAACATCTCAGTACCAAAATTCTCAACACCATTGCTTTCCTGAATTTAGAAGACCCGATAGAATCTTTTACTACCGAACCTCTTTGAGATAGCCGAAGAATGTATACCAAAATCCAAAAGAAAATTAAAAAAAACTTTGATTAATGAAGATTGTGATAAAGCTATTCAAATAGGAAAGCTGCTTTGAGGCAATTCAAAAACAACCCCACGAGCGATAGCTTAAACAACAAAATTATACGGGCGAAAGCCCGTTGTGCTATATGTTTTCACAAAAAAAAAATAAATTCCAATACATCCACTAAAAAGGTTTGGGATATGATTAAACGAATCAGTGGTAATACATCATTCAAAACAATAAGACATCTGAAAACTAATGGAAAATTAGCCACATCGAAATTTGATATTGCAAATGCTTTAAGATCTTTTTTCAAAAATTCGTCTGCAAATAATCATTCCAAAAATTTTCAAAAAAATTAAGACCACGCGTGGAAAAACTATATTGAAATTCTCTTCCGAAAACAATGAAACTTACAATCAACCTTTCTCGATGTTAGAACTTCAAGAATCGTTGAAAAAAATCACATGACTCTGCAACAGGACCTGATGATATTCACTATCAGTTCCTAAAACATCTACCAGAGTCATCATTAGAAAAACTTCTAGATATGTTTAACTATATTTTTAGGAAATGTCCCAAAGTCATGGAAAATGGCAACTGTGATTCCTATCCCTAAACAGGGTAAAGATACAACAGATCCCTCTAGTTACCGCCCAATATCACTTACGAGTTGCGTTTGTAAAACTCTAGAGCGGAAGATATATTCAAGATTAATTTGGTATCTGGAATCCAATCGCATGATATCACCCTTACAAAGCGGTTTTAGATTTAAGCGAAGTACCAACGATCATTTGGTTGGACTTGAGACCTTGGTGCGTGAGGCTTTTCTAAAGAATGAGCGCTTTGGTTGCTATTCTCTTCGATTTGGAAAGGGCTTACTACACAACCTGGAAATACGGCATAATGAAAATTCTGCACGACCCTTTCCGATGTCTATCAGCAGAAAATGGGTGTACCGCAAGGTAGCATTCTTTCCGGTGCACTTTTTGGACTTGAAATTAACAGTATTGTTAAAACAGTATCCCCTTCAATGGAAGGCGCTCTTTATGTCGATGACTATCGATCTAAGCATATGAATACCATCGAAAGAAAACTACAACAAAGTTTGAATCGAATACAAATTAAGGCAGATGAAAATGGTTTTAAATTTTCACAATCAAAAACAGTTTGTATGCATTTTTGTTCAATTGTCTTCCACATATAAAATACCTTAAAGCCAAAGGCCTTAAGGCACTGAATATTCTAAAGGTTATGTCCCACACTGATTGGGGAGCTGATCAAAAAGTTTTGCTAAGACTCTATAGAACCATTACTAGGTCCAAATTGGACTACGGTTCCATCGTGTATGGATCTGTTAGACCTTCATATTTAAAATTACTAGATACTGTTCATCACCAAGGTCTCAGGCTCGCTCTCGGAGCTTTTAAGTTTAAGATAACACCTACAGCAAGCCTCTATGTAGAGACTAACGAAGCATCACTATATAGCCGTCGAAATAAATTGGCTTTGCAATACACCATTCAGCTAAGGTCAAATCCTACAAATCTTGCTTGTTTCCCTGTATTTGATCCAAAATATAAACCTTGTTTCAAGGCAAACCAAAACCTATTCCACCATTTGGTATTGAAATTTCCGCTCTTTTACAAAACACAAATAATGATGTTAATCAAATTCAGTCATTTAGAACGATAGAAATTCCACCTTGGCTCATGAATTCACCTGAAGTTGACTTTTCACTTCATGAAATGGTTAAATCAGACACAGACAGTTACACATTTCGTTCATCCTTTACGAAATTACAGTTGAAATATGAAACATTTCAACATTTATATACTGATGGTTCAAAACAAAATGATAAGTTTGCTGCGGCCATGGTTACACAAGATGCAACCTATGGATGCCGGCTACCGAACAACGCCTCAATATTCTCGACAGAAGCGCGAGCTATCTACCTCGTCCTTGAATATTTTCAAAGAAACAAAGTAATGAGGGCTGTTATCCTTTCATACTCTCTTTGTGTTTTACAAAGTCTTAGCAATAGGAATATCGAAATATTTTCATTCGTAATACCTTAATACAATATCATGAACTTGCCTTTAACTTTCGTATTGCTTTTTGCTGGGTTTCTGGGCACATACCAGGCAATGAAAACGCAGATCGTGTCTGAAAGGAAGCTTTATCGCTACCACCTGTTGTTTTT